CCCAACCCCCTTGCTGTTGGTTTCCGTCATCTCCACCATCTGCTCACATCTTGTCCTCCTAGGATCTGAATTGCCCAAGCAACTGCCCCTCACAAGGAGGAAAGGTCTGGTTTCTAGATCCTGGGTCCTCTGCCTCTGGTCTGATGGGCTCCACTGCCCATCAAACTCTAAGAGCTTGCTTTTACATTAGAATCACATGGAGAGCTGTTTAGATATGCAGATACTTGGGTTTCATCCAGATTACTTAAAGCAAACTCTCTAGAGGTAAGTTCAGGATACTGGTGTTTAGAAGAATTCTCCAGGTAAGTCTCATATGTTCCCAGGAATGAAAGACACTACTGTATATCAATTTCACTCAAATTTCAGTGTGCATACACATAACCCAGGGATGTTGTTAAAAGGTACTTGCTGGTTCCGTAGGTATGGGTAGGGCCTGAGAATTTGCATTTCTGAGTAAGATCCCAAGTGTTGACTTTGATGTTGGTCCACCAGCCACTCTTTATGTAGTAAGACCCAAGACCAGTGGTTTTCAAAGTGTGATCAACAGTCACCTGGGGACTTGTTGGAGCTGCAAAATTTCAGGACTCTTCCCAGACTTACTACATCAGAAAGTGGGGGATGGGACCCAGAAACCTCTGTTTTGACAGTTGTAGAACCAATGGCTTAGATGGCACTGCCCAATAGAAATGAAAGCAAGCCACATATGTAATTTAAAATTTTCTAGTTGTCACATTTTAAAAAGTTAAAAGAAACAGGTAAAATTAATTTTAGCAAAATATCTTATTTAATACAAGATGTCTGAAATATTACCATTTCAACATATATCAATATAAAAAAATAATGTAATAATGTACATTCTGTTTTCCATACTAAGTCTTCAAAGTCCAGTACACTTATATGTTATCTCAGTTCTGAGTAGCCACGTTAAGTGCTCAGTTGCCACATGAATCCACCATATTGGACAGCCAAGTTCTAGACTTACAGCAGTGATAACAGCATTAACTTTTATTGAATGCTTGCTATGTATCAGGCCTTACTTAGTCAAGCATTCTATGCACATTATTTACATAATCTCTACCACAACTCTGTGGATTGGTTCTGCTATTATTCCCACTGTATACAGGGGAGGGGTTATGACAAAAGACCTATTTAGTGTTGCACCAAAATAAGATGCCCAGTCTAATACAAGCATGTCCCAATTTTTTAAATCAATTTATTTGTAAAAACAAAAAAGAAAGATAAAGAATATAAATAAAATCATTAACATTAGCACAATTGTGAAGACAGCAATAGCTTATAAAAGGCATAGTAGTTGAGTAAGTAGAAAAGTCCAAATATACTATCCTCTGACCTTTTAAAAATATGCCTAAAGTCCAACATGTACTCTTCTGTGACATCAAATCTGTTGAAAGTTGCTTACTGACAGGTTGTTTGAACAATGGGGATCCTTGGGGAACAAAGGAGACCTTGGTGAGTTACATGGCAATAGGAGATTTATCTTAAATGGAAGCAGTCAGCAGGGTCATAATCTTTTCATTCAAGTGCAGGTTTTGATACAAAATGACCTTAATAAGATGTTTAGGTCAAGATGGATCGTGCATACAATGATTGTCCCATAAGATTATAATGGAGCTGAAAAATCCCTATTAACCTACTGACCTCATAGCCTTGGTAATGTTTTAGCTCAATGCATCACTCATGTGTTTGTGGTGATGGTGGTGTAACCAAACTTGTGTTGCCAGTCATATAAAAGTATAGCACATACACATACAATTATGTGCAGTACATAATACTTGATAATGATAATAAATGACTTACTGCTTTATATATTTACTATACTATACATTTTTATTGTTATTTTAGAGTGTACTCTTTCTACTTATTAAAAGAATTTTGCTGTTGTTAAAAAAACAAAACTCAACTGAATAAATTTGAAGATGTGAGTAGCTTTAAGTGATTCATGAATGGGGCATCATCCCATCTAGCTACTAAAAGGGGCCTGTGAGGAGTTGTGCAAAATGGAATGTTTATATAAGAAGAAGGGTGGAGCAAGGGAGCTATTACAAACAGAAAAGAAAGGATTATTTTTGGGCCAAGACACCTTTTCTTTGCGGGAAAAGAACAGGAAGGGTTTTCATCTTGCAGGCTGCTGCTTCTTTCTATGGGAGATGGAGAGGGCCCTTTATGACAGATTACTTTACTGGGGCTTGACCAGAAAATTCCAGACTGGTTGATGAAGATTCCATTTCTGAGAGAGGCTGAAACTGCAGTTAGATCAGGTATTAAATCTAAGTTTGGTATCATGGGCTTTCAACATGAGTGATGCCATCTTGGACATACGGGGTTTTTTTTGTTTGTTTGTTTTTCTTTAAACACTGTAGAACAGTATGCCATGTTACATAGGCACAGCCTCATACATGTCTTGTGTTTAGTGTACCACTTGATTGCATCATTTTTCTCTTGTGCTTGGTTTAATCTTGTGTTGTTTTGTACAGTAACATGCTGTACAGGTTTGTAGCCTAGAAGCAAATAGCCTAGGTGATTAGTAGGCTATTCCGCCTAGGTTTGTGTAAATTCACAAAACATCTATAATGTTCAAACAATGACAAAATTGCCTAAAGACACATTTATCAGAACATATACCCATATGATTGTAGTTAAATGTGAGGCAATGGGCTTCTCTCAGTATTGATGTAGAAAGCAGGCAGCTTGGAATTTAAAAGTAATGGTTGACTTAGTAGTCAAATAGTTAATCTTTATTAGTTTCCTTAGCTTCCATAGTTTCTCAAGGAAGGCCAACTTTTAAATGTAGTTTCCTTTTCATGATAAACTATCATAAGGAGGAAAAAGTAAAACAGTTTAAAAATTTCTACCTGAGGCTAGACTTCCATTTTTTGCCAGAATTACCATTTATCATTTTGACGAAGTAATGTAAATATCTTATTTGAAACTGACAGATATTTAAAACATATTAAAATGTGAACATTTAAAATAAATGAACAGAAAAATGCATTATTTACAGAGATTTTTTAAAAACCTGCTGTATATGTTTTAAATAAAGTTAATCTTATTTTATTTTATTATATTTTTTAAGATTTTATTGGGGAATTGGGGGACGGGAACAGCGTTGGAGAGTCGGGGAAGGGGAACAGACAAGTTGCTGTCCTTTTGTTCTTCAGTCTAGTTGTGGAGGACGTCGCTTCACTGGCCCATGTTGGTATTATCATTGCGCTCTTCCTGGGTGAGGCAGATAGGTCACCGGCCTCTGGACGGCCGCTCATGGTGGCTCTTGGCCACTCATGCTGGCTGCTGGCTACACACAGTAGCCCATGGCAACCCACTGCAGCAGTGGATGCAGCCTACACCGTCACCGGCGCCTCATGGGAGCCCAGCTCCTGGTCGAGCTGTTGTTCACCATCTTAACTGTAGAGGGCAGTGTCACTGGCCCTCATGTGGGATCCAAACAGGGAAAATTCCAGACTGGTTGATGAAGATTCCATTTCTGAGAGACATGATCCCCTGGGACATCAGGTGTCCCAGGCCAGCTCTTAACCAACGCACCACTCAGCCAGCCCAAGTTAATCTTATTTTAAAATTATGATTAGCTATTTCAAACTGAAGTTGTAATTTTTAAAAATTTCAATATCTGTATAATTTTAATATAAGTGTATTATGCTGAAGGGATTTCACTATTTTACCATAGTACTTGAAACAGCAGTCATATATTTTTTATATATATCATGCATAATTCTTGGTATTTTCTTTTTTAAAGTTTATTTTTTAATTATATTTGACATACAATATTATATTAGTTTCAGGTGTACAACAGAATTATTAGACATATATATATATATATATATACCTTACAAAGTGATCATTCCCATAAATCTAGTACCCATTTGATACCATACATAGTTATTGCAATATTACTGACTATATTCCCTATGCTGCACTTTACATCACCATGACAAATTTATTAACTGGCAATTGGCACTTCTTAATCCCTTTCACCTTATTTCACCTGAAATAGTAGTCATATCTTATTTTTTTTTTTACATATCATGCATACTCCTTAGTATTTTCTATAATCGGTTTCTGTATCTTTCTTTATTTGCAAGGAAAGAATTGGATTTGACCTGAGCATCTAGTAACCAACCTTCATCGTATTAATTGTAACATATCATAGTGGTGTTTTATACTGAACTAAAACTAGAGAACCTCCTTTTATCTCCTTTCACCTCTTGGCAGTACTCACTGACTGCTTAAGCGTTCTCTTTGTTCTGGGGAGCGGGGAATTCAAAGGATTCAGGGATTCATCTACATAATAAAGGCTTTTATAAAAATACTTAAGTGTCTTCTTGGTAGGAAGTAACTAATTTTTCTTCTGAGAGGTGAAAAAGCCTTGATGAAGCAGTGGAAACCAGGAGTTGGTCTGATGACACCTAGCATCTTCCCTCAGTCATAGTATAAAGAGACCTCATCACTGATTGCTATGGTTTGAATAGTCTCATCATGTAAAAAAAAAAGCTGTAAAAACTTATAACAAATTCTGTCTTTATTCTTTATTTTCGCTGCATTTGTGTGCTGTAAACCATTGGAAGCAAGGATGCTGTTTATTTTGCTTACTATTATTGATATATTCTCAAAGTGCTTGGCATATAGTAGGCCAAGAAGTACTTGCCAAAAATATTTGCTGAATCAATGCAGGCAGGAATGAATGAATGAATGAATGAATGAATGAATGAATACAACTTTTAGATTTTAATTTATAATTCTAGAAACAAAATGAAAGCTCAGAGTTTGCTGGTCATCGTTGGTGACCCAATCTGAAGTATTTCTTCATTGGCCTTTGGAGAGAGAAGTAGGGGATGGGTGTCTGTCTGCATCATGTCACTGAATGGTCCCGTCTCTGCCAACAGATAAGAAATGTCAACAGCTTAACCCAGTAGCTTTCAAAAATAGCATACTTGATGAAACTGGAAATTCGGGTGCATGCTAGAAATAAACCATTTGTCTTCAGTCTTAAGAATGATAGGCTGACAACAGAGATATGTAAAATATTTTTTAAGACCCATCTATAAGTGAGCAAGAAAATATCAGAGGAAAAGTCCTCCCTCTCAGTAAGGCATGAATAGAACATCTTATTTTCAGTGAGTCAGGTAAGTCATTTTGAAAACTTGAGGATTATGGCAAGGCGCTCTGTTTCTTTAAGATTCCAGTCAAGTTTGTTTTTGTTTGTTTGTTTTCAATAGCGCTGGGCAGTTTTCCTCTATATTTAAATAAATATTAGCACAGTAAACTAAATTGTTGTGGGTTTCCTGGTTTGTGCCCTACCCCTCCCCGTAGGGGATGGGGGGTGGGTGTGGCGATTCGGATACGATTTTTTCATCCCTTTGCAGACAACTCCGGCTGCTGTTAATGCTGAAAATAGCTCAAATGCTCTCAGAACAGTAGCACCACCCAGCAGCTGGGATTCTTTCCCTCGCTTATTTGCCTTCTCTCTTCCCTTTTTTTCCCTTTTAGACACTTGGATTGGATTTAACCTTAAATCTCTGGAGTTCAAGACCTTTTAAAAAGGGCTAAATAAACAATCTCTACATGTAAAGGCCACTGACTCCTGCTTCCTCTGTTCAGAGCAACTGTTGAACCCAGCTGTCCAGAGGTAAGATTTTTTTTTTATTCTGGAATTATTTAATTGGTTCATGATACGTTTTATGACTAATGTTTTTTTAAATAACTTATTTATAGTGAAAATAAGCAGGGGCTGCGAACGATCTCCAGGTAAATACGGTGTTCCAGAATACAGGAGCATCTGTGCATTTTTGTGGCTGTAATTTTAAACTTTGCTTAAAGAGCTCTGTCATGTTGACCTGTCGTACTGACCGGCCTGTGCCTGGGCTGCACCAGAACGCTAATTACGCCTCTGCCAGGAAAGTGAGCGGGGCTTGGAGACATCATAATTTTGTTGTTTAGACTGCTTACTTATTTCTAACGTTCGAAGGACTTTTCTTTTTTAAAGCAAAAGTTGCAACCACCTGAGTAAAGACAATCTTTAAGTAATTGTTCTTTAAGGACAATGAGCAAGCTCTATTTTATTTTGTTCCTTTATCACTGTTTGTTTTTGTAATGTGAACAGTTGTTTGTTTGTTTTGCTTTTTGTATGTTAGCACAATTCGGGGACTCAGATTTGAGAATTTCTTACCTAGCTGAATGTCTTTCACTAGCAGGTTTCTCTCATGTGACAATATATAACATTGGGGGTAGTTTTCTGTGCTTTCCGTCCCCACTCCCATGCTTGCGCTTAACGTTTTGCCAAGTACTTTGATCTGTGGACTTTAACTTCAAACACAGCATTTGCTTTGACTGTGGGTATTTTCTATGGTCAGTAAGTCTTATTTTGTTGTTGCTTCATGCTTTTCAATAATTTCCTTTAAATAATCTATTGGACTTTGTTTTTCTTTCACTGATAAGTCTTAGGTTTTACTTGTACAGGGACCCCTAACTGCAAGGAAAAGACTATTTTATGGTGAGGCTCTCTCACCCTGTAGACTTGATGACAACTCTCTGCTCCCCTGCAAGCAGTGAATGACAGTGCAAAGAGTCCAAGTCTATCAACCCCTCACTTGATGGCCAGCTGCCTCTAAATTACCATATGCCTTAGGGCCAAACTGTTGCTTTTCAACAGGGACAGTGAAATCCTTGGAATCTGAAGATTCTTGTTTCCAAAAACGTTTATTGATATCACGGATCACATGACAAAAGAAAGCGTGTATTTTAAACACCCAGTGGTCTTCTGTGTAACTTTTAAAAAGAAAAGTTTAAAAGAAAGAAAAGAAAATTTTAGAAAGTATGAAAATAAAGAAAAAAAAATCCCTCTGCAGCCCAAAGTCTGTTTTGCTAGTGAAACTTCTGCTGAATGAGGGATAAGGAAGGAAAAAAATATGTATTTCCTAAAATAAGCAGTGTAGCACATTCTCACCAATCAACTTTTAAGTGTTCTCTTTATTTTAAGGTAAATCCGTGTGTATATTCCATGTGTCTGTGTCCCTTTTCTTCCCCACCTCAAGTAGAGGGTATTTTCAAAGTCCTCAGCCACATATTGAGTTTGATGTTCCTGCCAGCTCTCCCCGCCTGTTCTGATAAAGGTTAGGAGGAGACGGAGCCTAACCTTGTCAGGAGACTGGCTATGTCCTAGTCAGGGACTGTGGCTCCTTAGAGCTGACAGCCTGCTCCCTGAACGCTGCACCTTGCTGAGAAAGAAGGAAGGAAGCTGGTGGCCACAGGACAAGAGATTTCAGAGGGGTGGAGCTAGGGGGAACACTACTGGAGAGGTGCCTCGCCTTTAGATGCAGTACGATCTCTAGAATTTGGACTAATGGTCAGTAAACCCAGAGATGTTCAGCCCAGTTTTATTTCCAAAAGCTGGACATTTAATTGTTACTTTCCCCCCTTCAAATCTGCATTATAAGGAGCATATTAGTCATCACATTTCTGTGAGGGTCAAAATGTTAAATCCTCCGGTTATTTTGAGCGTGGACTTCACTGCCTTTTTGGGGTCTAGAACACTCTCCCCCTTAGCACTGGGAAGCCCTGAGAGGGCACGGCTGAGTGCGAGTGGAATGGCAAAGGCCATACAAGTTCAGCTGCAGAACCCAGTGGCATCAGGATGAAATGGGTTTGCAAGGTTAGATGGCCATTCCATTCTCCTGCAAGCCATTTTTTTTTCCTTTTTTCCTATTTTGTTGTTTTATTTCTTTGTGTCTCTTCACCCCTTAATTTTCACTCTGAAACTTTGGATTGTTTGAATGTGAAACTCAAGGTGAAACCCAGCCAAAGCCGCTGAGTTTCACACAGGTTCCACATGAAAGAAGTATTCTACCCGGGGTTGCTCGAAACTTGGCCCATGTTTTGCCAAAAGTTTCATGAATGTCAGTGAGCCGGGATTTGAAACATAATCCAAAGCCAGGTGACTTCTAGCGACTCTGAGGCTTAATTGTGTAAGTATAGAATCTGTCAGAAAAAGGACATCCCTTATTTTCACATCTTCTGTCATTTCATGTGTGCACATAGTTTCCCCAATAAATTCCCATTTGTTCTACGATGTTTTAAAAGCCGGGTTCAATCCTAATATGAATTTTTATAGCTGTGGTATTTAAGCATTGGCAACTAGAAGGCTGCATTTTAAATTCCGACACAGTCTGAACCACAGTAGCGTGAACATGTTGGTATAATTCAGCTGAAGGCAGTCCCAGGAGAGTCGTGGAATGTCTTTCTTTGCTTAAATATACCTCTGTGCTTGTGAGGAACAAACAGTAACATTTTGTCCTGGTCTATCCGCTTGACAGTATGCTTTTTGTTCGCTCTCCAAAGGTGGTGTCAAATATATTGGTGGAAAAAAATAATAAACTTCCAGTTTGGTTTTTTTTTTTTTTTTGCTTGCTCAAGTGATATACTCCTAGAGAACATTGTAAGCATTGAAAAGTTCAGTACTATTACTTGTAATGTAATGTATACTGAGAATAAAGAAGTACTCAGCAGAGTTCATTTCCTTCAGAAAAGCTTGGTGATTTAAAGCTGACGTGTGTGTTATTAGTCAAAAAGGGCCTGGTTGTGAAGGTGTCTATGTGTGTGTGTGTGTGTATTTTGGGTGGGGGTAGTGGTGGGTGGAGAGGAAAAGGGGTTTGTAAACTTTGTTCAGCAAATATGTCACATCTAAAACAAAAATAATCAATCCCAGGAACTGAAAGCATTCCTTTCTTTTGTTGATCATATAAATTTGTGTTGGCTGAATATTGAATATTTTTGGTATTATTTTTCTTATTAAAGACACCGCATTCTGATCATTAGGATTCCAGAAATGGCAAATCACCTCCAATGAAAATATGACGAATTGGGAGACCTACGTAGTTGTGGATGAAGTTGCTTGAGACAGTCTCAGAAAGAGCTTCATGGTTCTATGGCCATTACGGATGCTAAGCCACCCAGGAAACTAAGATTTGACAGGCCATGTTACTAGTTGGAGGATTTCTTAACTCATTTGAAAGATTTTCATAAAAACCGAATCTGTGACCTCACTAAAGATTTAGTCAGACTAAATTTAGCAAGATTTATAGTTATTATAAAATTAAATTGTCATCCAATTTCATTTTGAAAGGTTTGTAGTCATATTTTTGTTCCATAAAACAGACTTTTTATTAAAAGTACAGTTTGTATTTTAGCAGTTGATTTGCAAAATGACTGTAATCGATCCCATACTAAGGAAAGCACTGGAAAAGCTAACAACAAACCTTGTAGGTCCTATATGTAGGAGCTGCATTTGAACAGTTACTGCTGTATTCAGTGTAGCATTTATCAGCATATCTGATTTTACTCCAAAACTAGTACAATGAGCAGAAGAAAGATACTCAAATGGAGGTGCTAGAAAAAAACAATTCAGGACCATCCTGCAAGGAGGTGCTCACTAGACATATCAAGGTATAAGGAGCTCAATATTTTGAAAACAATCATCATCCATAACAAAATGGGAAACGAGAAAGGGTGAAATACCAGGTTAAAAATAAACACCAAACTTGTGCATCTGTAAAATGTTTCTTTAATCATTTTAAGGCCTTCTTTCAAGAAAGACCTCACTAGTCATTTAAGAGCAAAATCAGTCCCTTAAAAAATCTCCTGTGCTTAATTTACTATCAGAAAAATTGAGTCTACGTAATACTTATCCATTCTTCAAGGATATATCATTAAAAGATAAATTTATATATGTGTTGCATTTGTTTTCTTAAAGAAATTAGTATCAGTCTGATCAGACCATGATGACACAAAATAAAGCAACCCCCCATGCCCCCCCCCACCCCTCCGTAGGCCAAAGAGGATTATTTACCTGAAGCAGATAAACAATCATTTCCAGGAAAGTCGTCATTCTCCAACTAAATTTTTATATGTTATTTAGATATTATAAATTTCTCTGAAATAAGAAGTAGTACTTAAAATAATCCTTTAATAATTACAATGCCAAAATACTACAATGATCTTAAAACCTTCATCTCTCATCTATCCAAGATGGACTGTCAAAAAGATGTGAGCATTTCTTTTAGGTTTAAAAGCTTTTTCCTGAGGAATCATGGAGTAGGAGACCCTGGTGAACCTCCAAATCACTGCTATCCCCCTGGAGAAGTACAGCCTACTTGTGCTTGAGTTAAAATAGAGAACAGAGAAGGAAACTCCTCTTTCCTCCGAGGGCCTGCCTCCCTAAGTCTCTTGGTCCAATTTTTTTTTTTTCTATGGCATTATTCCCTCTTTTCTGTTACTTCCACTTCCCTTTTTCCAAAAGAAACACAAGTCTTCTCCTGTAAACTTCACCATTCTTGAGTTGTTGGAGGAAAAACCCCAAGGTAGCTAGCTTTGGGGGCTTCAAGATTCACACACGTTACAAAACTAGCCAATGATACCTGAGTTACGAGAACATTTTCATATGCCTCGCAGGTAAAGTTATATTTAATAACTGTTGAATAATTCATATCAGAATAAATATAAAATGGACATGAGGGCAGCCCTTTAGATCATAACGAAAGATCCATTTTTTTTAACCAAACTCTATTTTAGAACAATTTTAAACTTACAGAAAAATTGTAAAGATGGGACCAGAGTTCCTACATACCCCACACC